TGAGGTGTCGAATAGAGTGAGTATTAGATTACGGTTTGAAGTATGTGGTGTCATGTGGTTGTGTGTAGTTGGTGAGTAGTACTAGTGGTGTGAGCACGGCAGTGCGTAGGTGGGAACGTAGGTGTAGAACGTCGAGTGGTATTGTGAGTGAGTATGTTAGGTAGGTGATGGCGATGAGACAGAAGGTGACGAAGAGGTTGATGGCTGAAAGGAGGTTGTAGTTATATGATGGATGGTAGTAGTGGAGTGGTTAGGTGAGGTGTCGAATAGAGTGAGTATTAGATTACGGTTTGAAGTACAATGTAGTAGGTGCGGGGATCTTGTCGGCGAGTAGATGCAGTGGTAGTAGGTGGTGGGTGTAGGCGAGGCGCCAATGCGAGAGAATGTGGATAATGTCCAGGGGGAAGAGTAGTGCGTAGAGGAGGTAGATGATGGCGAGTAGCCAGAAGATGACGAAGAGGTTGATTTCTTTGAGGAGGTTGTAGTTATATGATGGATGGTACTAGTGGAGTGAGTAGGTGATGTCATTTGGTTGTGTCTAGTTGGTAAGTAGTAATAGTGGAGTGAGCACGGCAGTGCGCAGGTGTGACCGTAGGTGTAGAACGTCGAGTGGTATTGTTAGTGAGTATGTTAGATAGGTGATGACGAGTAGCCGGAAGGTGACGAAGTGGTTGATGACTGAGAGGAGGTTGTAGTTATATGATGGATGGTAGTAGTAGTGCAGTGAGTAGGTGATATCATGTGGTTGTGTGTAGTTGGTAAGTAGTACTAGTGGTGTAAGCACGGCATTGTGTAGGTGTGACCGTAGATGTAGAACGTCGAGTGGTATTGTGAGAGAGTATGTTAGGTAGATGATGACGAGTAGCCAGAAGATGAGGTGTAATAGTGGGTAGTGGAGTGAGTAGGTGAGGTGTCGAATAGAGTGAGTATTAGATTACGGTTTGAAGTATGTGATCTCATGTGGTTGTCTGTAGTTGGTGAGTAGATGTAGTGGTGATAGCACGGCAGTGTGTAGGTGTGAACGCAGGTGTAGAACGTCGAGTGGTATTGTTAGTGAGTGTGTTAGGTAGGTGATGACAAGTAGCCAGCACGTGAGGATGTAGTATGGGAGTGATTAGGTGAGGTGTCGAATAGAGTGAGTATTACATTACGGTTTGAAATATGTGATGTCATGTGGTTGTGTGTAGTTGCTGAGTAGATGCAGTGGTAATAGGTGATGAGTGTAGGCGATGCGCCAATGCGAGAGAATGTGTAGAACGTCGAGTGGTATTGTTAGTGAGTATGTTAGGTAGGTGATGGTGAGTAGCCAGAAGGTGAGGTGGAATAGTGGGTAGTGGAGTGAGTAGGTGAAGTGTCGAATATAGTGAGTATTAGATTACGTTGTAAAGTACAATGTAGTAGATGCGGGGATGTTGTGGGCGAGTAGATGTAGTGGTAGTAGGTGGTGGGTGTAGGCGAGACGCCAATGCGAGAGGATGTGAAGGAGGTCCAGTGGGAAGAGTAGTGCGTAGAGTAGGTAGGTGATGGCGAGTAGCCAGAAGGTGACGAAGAGGTTGATGACGGAGAGGAGGTTGTCTGTTGTTAATGGATGGTAGTAGTGGAGTGAGTAGGTGATGTCATGTGGTTGTGT